GACAATTCCATTATTAGCCATACTGATGGAAATAACATTTTGAAACTAAGAAAGTGTGTACATGTTACAGTAATCAAATGTTTTTTGATAGATTATTTAGGCAGAGTATTCACGATAAGTGAACTGGAATTGAAGGCAATTGCCTGTTGTAAAAAAAAAACACAAGTTAGAAGACGATGTCTCATAAGTCTTTTGTCTTCAGAACCTAAAGACGAGAGATAGAAAACTTTCGAAACGTCGTCCTCTACACTTGTGTTTTTTACAACAGACAGTCGCCGTCCATTCCAGTTTACTCATATATAAGTGTTTACATTCTCCAGCAACACATTGTCTTTGGGATAATATGTCAGCATTTCCATGGTTCCATCCAAGAGGATGCATGATGTTAAAGTTGTACTTCTGGAATGTTTGGAGTCATCTTTCTATCTGACCTTCTTGATTGCAAAGATTGAACAGCCACATCAATGCTGCATGATCTTTCCAATGTATAAAAATTTGCCTATAAAGGTAATGATGAAAATGACTTGTGGCTCGAACAACACTTAGTAGCTTTTTTTTGGAGTTGTAGAATACTTCCTTCCTGTGGTATTCACTGTCTTATTATAGTAGGTAATCATGTGGTCTTTGCTGTGCTGTACCTGTGATAAAATTACTCCCACTACAAAATCACTAGAATTTATATCTTAAAATGAGTGGATATTCAAGCTACAAGTCAGTTCTTTGTTCAGTTTGTTGAATGCTTTTCACAGTTAGCAGTTCAACAACATTTATTTGGATTTCAAGTAATTTGTGTAGAGAACGAGTTTTGTCAGAGAATGATTTTACAGAATGATGATAGTAAAAGCATAGTTCAAGAAACCCTCTTACTTCATTCAGGTTCTTTGTTATTGGCAAATTCTGGACAGTCAGTCTTCAATGGATCTGAAGACATTATCTTTCTACTGACTATATGTCCCAGCAAACTTACCTGTTGACAGAAAAATTTCCACTTCTTGGTATTCAGCTTAGAGTCTCTTTCTTCAACTAGTCAAGAATATTTTTTAACTTTTCATTGTAAGGACATTACAAGGTACTTCAGACAGAGCACACTTTTAAATGTTGAAATGTAGTAGGTGCATTACATAATCTAAATAGTAATAGAACAAGTTGCCACAATCCATTTCCTGTAGTTAAGGCTATCTTCTCTCTACCTATTTTTTCGACCGTCACATACCAACATTCGCTCTTAAGTTTCAATGTTGAAAGCCATTTTGATTCAGATAGAACATGCAAAGTAGAGCCTATCCTTGGCAGTGGGTAGGCATCCTTCTTTATGAAATTATTCACCTTCTGATAGTCCATGTGGAACCTCGTGGAACCACTCTTTTTCTTCACACATACAATAGTTGATGCTTATGAACTAGTATTCAGATCTATCACTTCCTATTCCTTCCTCAGCCTGTTCTACATGTGGAAGTAATCTAATCAATAATATATTTGGACTGCATCTCTTTTATCAGTCTTATGAGATATTTCATTTATTCACCCTACGTCATCAGGTCCACTGGAGAAGGTGTCTTAATATTTTGTGAGCAAGTAATGTAACTTTTGGTATTGATCAGTTGTGAGACCTTTACAGCTTATATTATGCAGCAAAACAGCCTTGCTTGGGGATATTGTCTCCTTGGTGTATTAACAGCTACTGATTCCTCACAATTTCAGCTTTAACGGCCAGATTTCCCATATCTATTTTTTTTCTGGTATCCCTTGAGAGGATTTCTTATTACCTAAAACCTTTTGTCTACAGTTTATGGTGATACACTTAAAACACCAAATGACTTGTGGTTTATTTCTTCCATTCTGTGTAACTAGTCGTCTAACTTTTAGTTCTTCTAGAATCTAGACTATCATCAGCGGGATTGGACGATCCAGTAACTTCGAGATGGTGTTTTTAGTTGTTTATCTGTGACTTTGCTGGATTCCAGTTCCATCATCAATTGCGAAGCTTTCTGTAAAGAGGTACATCTGCTTTGCTTCAACTTAATTCTCATTTCCTCATCTGTTATAACATATATAAATTGTTCATGTGCCAATGAATCAATTATTTCAAGAGGAACATCTAGATAAGATAATTGGGCAAACCTTTTCAAATCTTCTGCAAGTTCTGTTGAAATCTATTCTTTCCTCCATCCTTTGTTCCAGAATTTTGCTCTGGATACTTCCTTCTGGTGTGTCATTCCAAACCTGTTGGAAAAGGTAACTACCGATGCTTGATAGTTGTTACACCTCTCGGCTGGAAGGTTATTTAATTAATGTCATCAAAGCTGTTCCCTTTAAATGGTCAGCAATTGCATAGTTTGTTGTTCACTTTGAAAATGATTTCGAACTGAGCCTGGTATATGGTAAACCTCCCATGGTACTTTTGATTTCTTAATTAATTGATGTTGAACTAGCCAGCTAAATTCTGAATTTGGTAGTTATATACCTGTAGTATTCCAGTTAGATCCTGTAGTAACATAGAAGTAGTGGTACCAAATAAGTTCTCCTAATCCATATTTTGTAGTAGATGGTGTTTTAGGTTGGATCTGCTGAGTCAGTACAGAAAGAAATGTGGGTTCTTTAATCTTTGCATTTAATAATTCGTTTTTCAGATGTTTTATTCTGTAACTGATGTTGTTTTCAATTCTGTTTATGTCTCTTTTTTATATTGTAGAGCCTCGTTGTACTTCTTTGATGTCCTTATGTACTTTGTTGATGTCTTTTTTTACTTCTTTTGTTTTCTAATTACAGCATTCCTGTACTTCGTTGATGTCCTTTCGAATTTCTTAAAAGCTGTTGTTGTAATCCCTCTGTACGTTTCCAATAGCTTCATTGATCTTGCCTTCAATCATATTTATTTTTGTCTTTAATTATTCTTTAAATATTATGCCTTATTCTTCTTGATCTTCTTTTAAATTTGTGTTTTTCTTGGTCTATTAATTTTCATTCTCATTCTTCTACTTTAGATCGTTCTTTTTTTAATTGTTTCATTATTTCTAGCAAGCTTTGATCTCACTTCTGGATCAGGTGTTGTAACATTGTGCTTTCGTTGGGTAGGTTCTTTCAAGTTACTTTGCAAAAATAATGTGAAGTCTTGCTCACATAACAATAACAAATTAGTTTATTTCTCCTTTAACATCTTCTATAGCCTACTATATAATATTATCACTTGTCCTCATTTGTACCAGCAATGCCCTCAATTTCAACAAAACTTTACATGCTGATGGTACCACGACTAACATACAAATAAACTTACTTGTACAATTTTATGGCTAATCGAATAACTGAATATACGCTATAAATAACACTGATCTGAATAGTCAACTTTGACTGACACTCTACTAACTGATACAACTGACTCAATGTTCCCTGATTCTCATATTAATAACGTAGCCTTGTTTCTAGACACTTCGCAAAGTCTCTTGATCGCTAATATTCGCGAATATTTTCTAGGTATTGTTACGCCTCCGTTCGTTAGTTAATTTTCCGTATAATTTCTTCCCGAAGAAACTTTACCGATACAAGTCTTTTCTTAAATAAAACTGGTTTATTCTTTCTGAATACAACTTTGCGATACACTTAATTTCAACAGTCGCGGTATAACAAACGCTATAACCCACAACGAACGTCTCACGTGCCCAACAATATTCTCTCTGTCCGCAATTCAATAACTCAATACATTATTGCCGTCACGTTGTGACCGTCTTATATATAAAAGAATACCGAGATCTAGTAAACTCCCGATATTTCAGGAAGAGACGTGAACGTTCGAGAAGCTTGTGGCGTGATACTAGCGTCACGTGACCCCCGATGTCGTAACAGTATTGTAGAACTGCTTTTTATAAATTTGTTTGGTCTTAACGTCTTAACTAAAAACAATATAAATAATCTTTCAACCATTAATAAGTCTGGTGTATCCCATCCCCCTGGAGATCCTGGTACAGCGAATGGCCTCGTCGTTACTGTACAGTGGAGCTAGGATGTAATTAACAGATTTTACAATCATTCTTAATATTTTTGTATTTAGTCTAAATTACTTTACACTATTAGAAATACTAACAGTAACGCCGCCCAACGGGCTGCTGTTTGTGCTAGTAATTACTATGCGTAATATTCACATAGATGGCGCCACACTGTGTTTATTATTTTGATCACATACACGGATAGAAACATATATACACGCTACGTCCACTACAGTAAGATAAGAGCAATGGGAAAATATGAAGACATGTTCAACAATCTTCAAGCGTTTCGAAATAAAGTGATTCTATCATAAGTGATTTGTAATGATATACATAAATAAGTGATATAGTATAGCAGTTGAACATAACAGTACATATTTGAAAAGTTAATAGGAAAACATAATATATATATGTGTGTGTGTGTGTACTGTTATATATACCAAATGCACATTATAATTTTTATGAGTATGATTATAAATCACTGATGACGAGTTTAGTTTCATCCGAAACATCTGAATATTATTAATTATGTTTTCATACTTTGCACTGTTTTTAGACGAACTACGTATAGCATACATATTTACTTTACAATACACATTTTCGTGAAGAGAACGAAAATTCACGATTAGTGTTTATATATCTTTCGTTGTGGATGTCTATAAGTGTTTGTATCTTTCATTGTAATGACTAATGATCAATAAGTTCAGTCAAGTTAAAATCATTTTGATAATTTATGCTTAGTAACTTCAAATTATGTTATATTTTGATTCTAGAAAAATGTGTTTTTCTCTTTTATTTTAGACATGCTGTTTTGCTGGAGTTAGAAAAAGTAAAATAATTTAAACCTCTCTCTCATGATACACTTTTTATATCGTAGCGCCATCTGGGCTTGTTTTAAAGGCACAAAGAGCATACCGCATTCTCTTGCTTATCACCGATCAAGCAATGTTGGAACACTTGGTAACGAGTACAACCACTTACTTTATCGTGAGATTATAAGCGCCTATTGGAGTCACATGTAAGTTAAATGAATGATGAAGTAATATCGTTGTGTCCTTTTTCTTTTAAACATTATCCTATATCAAAGCTGAGTTAGTTGAATGTATTTATATTTATACTTGCAATATAATAGTAGATCGAGTAACCTACGGCACTGACAACGGTAAAAAGTGACATTTATGAATCAAGTAAAAAAAAAAAAGGTTGTCATTATATGTTAAGCCTAATTATCTTGTCATCGTGGTACTAGGCCGCCATATTGGGAGAAACAAAGCTAGAAATATAGCCTATATGACTTGTATGATTAGGAGTAACAATTATTTCTTTTTCTTTTAATATACTCTCATTCTCTTCAGTTATTCTTAAGTAATCTGACATAAAGTGAACATTTTTTATGAAGTATTTTAAAGCTTGATACTAAGGTTTTGCGCATTGCCGGTTAGTGACTAAATCAAATGAGTGAGTGGTATTGCTATTATTAATTATTATTAATGTTAGTACCTATTACTTCAAGTACATTTTTGTAATTTTATTTTGATTGTATTAGCTTATTTAACTAGTAATGAGTTAGAAGTTTACTATTTTCAATCATAGTAGTGTAACAAGGCCAAGAGGGCCTGGTGCAAGAATAGGTTAGAGACCCAATCACTGATTCTGAAAACTAAAATTTTGATTACCTTTTACACTATTAAAAATTCTAAAGTTAAATTAGTAGTAGTAGCAGTACATTGGTATTACTATTAGTAAGTAATTGTAATCTGTACTTCAATTTGAAGTTGTAGACCTATTTTAACTTTTATTTTTAAGACAGTAAGGTCAGGCAGTGTTTTGGTGGTTTATCTTTACTACTACTAGTAGAAGTGAAATTAACTTTCGATCAGAGTAAGCTACTTGTGAATTAAGTATGACAGTAATACTTACTAATGAATCCTAAAACAAAATGGCAAGGTTGTTTTCTTGATTATATTTTATTTTTTATTACTATCATTGTAGCAGAAATCTTAAGATAATAATGAATATTTGCTAATTAAGTTTAATTTTACTTTAACATATAAGTAGACAAAGAAAAACATTTCACATTATTCTCATGTTTTTTCTATGTCTCCCTTGATTACTGGTCAAATGGAGAGAATTAATTTAAATGCAAGTTCATTCTATTATAAAATTATGGTTATTTAACCTGTTTTTATTCATTTACTGATAACCCATATAAAATACTGGATTTACATTTTACTGATTAATTTGTGTTGTAGCAGACATTGTACCAGATCATCTTCCAAACTTGTGTCACGTTGTTTGGCAAATAACGAAATAATATTAGATTAAATTGTGAAGCAAGTATTTGGATCTTGATTAAAATGTTAAAGTAAATGCCTGATTTAAGAGTAATTTTTTGGTAACTTATTTCCATCTCATCTGATTTCAGAGTTACCAGAAAAGAGTAAAATGGAAGATGATGCTGTTTATGATAAGGCAAGTGCTGGTGCTTCACAAACTTACCCTGCTCAGTGCTCCTCTTTGCGTAAGAATGGCTATGTGATGTTACGGGGCCGCCCATGTAAAATTATGGAAATGAGTACTTCAAAAACAGGAAAACATGGTCATGCTAAGGTAAATACAATACTTGTTTAAATCTTTGTTGTTGTTGTTTTTTATGATATTACCTCGTGTGTGTAATAGATAAATCTATATTTTGATTTGCTAATGTTTTCTAACTGGAATTTTTATACTGAAACAAGTTACAAAGAAAAAACGAAAACATAGAGCATATTAGTGCTAATTATTCCAAGTTTTCAAAAGAAGTGATAATTTTATTTTGATTGTATTAGCTTATTTAAATAGTAATGAGTTTAGAAGTTTAATATTTTCAATCATAGTAGTGTAACAAGGCCAAGAGGGCCTGGTGCAAGAATAGGTTACAGACCCAATTACTGATTCTGAAAACTAAAATTTTGATTACTCTTTACTATCTTGGGTACTCGGAACATATTCATGTTATCTCATAAATACATCAATACAATGTGTGGGATGTGAAGATGATATTGACATTTATACATATCACTGAGTTATCAGTGTATTTATTTAAAGTTTTGTATACATTATTTAGTTGTTTTCTATTCTTTTAGTTGGCAAGTATTTTGGTTGTTTTAAATATATTAACTATATCATTTATTTCTAGAAGAACTAATCATTCTTGCTTTATTGTAGTGCTAAGGTGGTTCTGTTTCAGTTTTTAAAATACAATAGCAAGTGTTGTTATAAACAACAGCATGCATGCAGGAAAACTGGATGAAGAAGAATTTGTTTCAATTATCACATTTGTTGTCCTCTTTTACTGTTTATTTTTTACTTTTGTTTTGGACTTCAAGTATAATGACAGTGATTCTAACTAAGTTGTATAATTGGGACATTTCTGAATGCATCTTGAAGCTCCAATTACTCCAGCTGCATGGAAGTCTTCACCTGAAGATTTTACAAAAAACTGGAGATTTGGAATGAAAGCCTACACAGTTTCATTTACCTTGAACCAATTTTTTGTATCTGTTAACCCACTAGCACTTTGCACTTTTTAACAACTCAATCTACTAAATTCTTCACCTCTCACAAACAAAGCCTGGTGTTGAGTACATATTTTTATTGTGGTAATTTTAAATTCATTATTTTCTCAGCTTCGAGTTGAACCCAAAACTTTTCTTGCACAGGTGAGTGTTCAACTGATTGAGCTAAAGTAAAGGGTTAACCCATTAGCACAGCATTTCCCAAACTTTTCCAACTAGGAACTGGTTTATTTTTGTAATTTTTCATGAGGCCCGGTCTCCTCAAGTACCTAGTTAGATAACCCGCTAAGACAGGGCTAAGTCTTAACATAAAGCTGGAAGCAATAGTTCTATCAATACATCATCGATTGTAAAATATATAGGTGTTTTATAGTACTACTGTGTAAAAAGAAGTAAAATAAATTATACTTCATTGTTATTTAATCTTTACATTAATTGTATATTTATTAATGCTCTTTTAAGAAATAAACTTACCTAATGAGAAGGATGATGCTGTTTTCATCACACAGCAACTTCGAATCAGGAGGAAAAGAAGTCAGTTTGATCCTCAAATCTGGCTCAACATTTAATCTGTTCCTGTACTTGTTTTTAAGAAAACCAAAATTTATAAGTTGTAACAAAGGGCATAAGAAATCTCACTGCTTTTTCTGATAAATTTGATACTCGGAATGACAGCTCAGCCAAAAATTAATTAACAAGACTTGACTAAAATGGTCTTTTAGTGCGGTGTCACAGGACAGTTCAATAATAGAATCAATTTCTGATTCACTGAGTTATAATCCTTTCTCATTTTCCTTCTTAACAGTAAAAGGGTTCCTGATTCACATTTTACTGCTGTCAGTTGGAGGAAAATATTCCTTCAAGCATGATTTTAGCCCAAAAGATGCTCTTTGGTTGATGAGGAAATCTCATCTGGAATATTACCTTCATCTTAGTTTTGTAGAGAAAGACTTATAATTTCTCTTCTTAACTCGTTGTACCCACAAGTTAATTTTTTTATAGCTGCTTCTATCTTTTTCTGGACCTTAAAAATACTACTGAAATTCACAGTGTAATAGGAGATGTTCGTGTTCACTTCCTAATTCTTTGCACAAAGCAGGGAAGATTCTGGAATTCAATGAAAGAGATTTTATATAGTTTATGAATTTAACACATTCTTGCATACTTGAATTAAAAAGTAAGGGCATTTTCTTCACAGCTAATGCCTCTCTGTGAATGCTACAATGCACCCATTCACAGTCTGGAGCCACTACTTGGATCCTCTGGAAAACTCTTATATGGGAACCTGCCATTGAGTGAGCACCATCAGTACTCAATCCAACACATTTTTTCCACTTAATACCACTCTGAATTATAAAATTATTGATTAAACTAAAACTTTTGTCAGCCGTTCTTGTTGGAGGTGGTTTACAAAACAATAAATCTTCATGAATTGTCCTTATAATCATATCTTACAAAGCACATTAAATTGGCATTAACTGCTATGTCATCCATTTGTAATGAAAAAAACTGACTACAGTGAACTTGATGTATAAGAGTTTCTTCAATATTTTTTGCCATATCCACAACTCTAGGGTTTACTGTATTATTAGATACAGTAAATTCAACTGAATTTCTTGTTTTTTATAAACTAGATGTAATTGTTGTTACTGCAGGAACTATTAACATACAATAGTATGCAGATAACCACCTGTCTCTGCTATTAGTTTTGAAATTTCATATGAGGCCATAACCAAGTCTTCAGTGGAAGATCTCGTGGAAAAAGTGTGTGAAATTATTTGTTTGAAAACACTATTTCATTTTTCTTGTATATGAAAAAATCTATTGGCTTACTCAAGTATTCTGGATGTCTGGTATCCAAGTGGTGTTTCAGTTTCGATGGTTTCATGCTCTCATTTGATAATGTTCAACAACAAAGAACATAGAGGCAAGTCATTATTGCTACCACCATTATTTTCACTAACTTCAGTTTCAGTAGAACTAGGCTGCATTTTCGCATCACTTGAGGGTTTCTTGTGTGATTAATGTTTCTTCAGCCATCTGTCCGTATTGGAGAGGGGTTTTCTTAAAAATAAACAACTTAAAAAATTTTTAGTTAGTACAAACTAAGTCACAAACAATTCTCTCTTCTCGGAACAAACTGATGCTTCTAGCACCGGCCACCAGCAGCTTGTCTGCTGCCATCTGGCACTACCAGATGTAAGACTAGGGTCTTGCATGGCTGTCAGTTTCCATTAAGAAACTAAGCAAATTTAACACATTTGGAATAAAATTCCTTAAACTTTGTTGTCAAAGAACTAGTTAATTTGAATGAACGAATGGTCCTTTTATGTGAGACAAAATCCCTTATTTGATCTTACCTGCAGACAGGAAGATTGGCTTGTACTCCAAGGAGATGTATCTAGTTGACATGCGGTTTAAATTTATGGCATTTCACAAGGTTATCAACACAGTAAAACTTAATCTTAGGCTATAAATTGCACTAAGTGAGAACACCTAAATTCCTGAGGGATTGAAGGTATAAAAGCGGCCGTCAACTTTTGAATTCTATAGTTTTGTAGCCTTAAGTACAAGCTTTCACTTTTCCTTCCTGTTATATTAGCTTAGTTGAAATAATGAAAAATCCAAGTTAGATGAAATGAAAATTTAAATTGTAATGTATTTGAAAATATTAATTTTATTAGAATATATTTATATTAACTGGTTTAATTACATATTTCTTTAATATACAACAAGGGCTTGGAGAAAGTTTAAAAATGGCAGTTGGTAATGAAAGGGTTAAGTTTAATTTAATTTTTTAGTTTTCTGCGGAACAGCATTTTTTTTTTTTTCATGTACTGGTACTGGGTCGCAGACCACACTTTGGGAAACACTGCACTAGCACTTACTAGTAATGCATTTTTAACAGCTCGTACTTTTACCTTCTTCCCCTCTTAGGCCTTTTCTCAGGGTATTGGGTGACCTCTAGTTGAGAATAGTTATTCTCTGGCAATTTCAAATTTATTATTTTTCCAGCTTACTTTATGCTAAGATCTCATTTCAGGTGAATGCTCTACCAACTGAGTTAAAGGGTTAACCCACCAGCAGTTGCTAGATAGGCAAAGTAAACATTCTTTCTTTCTAGCTATGCCAGATTTTGGAACCAATGTTAGGAATCAGTTTATCTTATGGTAATTTCATTTTTTTTTCTTTTTAACTTCACTCACAATCAAACCCAAGTCCCCTTGCTAAGTATGTGAGTGCTCTGCCAACTGAGCTAAAGGGTTAACCCACTAGCACTTTTTAACAACCCAGGTTACCTCACTGTCTAATGTAGGGTTGGTGAAGCTGTAACAAATATATTCACTTCTGACACAGATGCAGAGGTAACAGTACCACCATAATGTGTTCCTGTGGTCAGAGGATTTGTAATTTCTGATTGTGTATGTGTGTGCTCTGAAGTCATCCACAAGTTTAGGACAATACTTGTTTCTGTGATTATCTCCAGACAATGCTAAAAAATTGTTGGTTTAAGGCAGGAAGTCTCATTCTATTTTGAAGCAGTCAGGCTATACTGACAGGTTTTAAATTCAAGTGGGCTTATGTCTGATAGATCAGTAGTTCATCAAGTAATATACAATAAATACTGTTCTTTACAGTAGGAATGGTAAATACACACATTCATCTGTGGCGTTTTAGAATCCTATACACTGAAGTTTTTTAAAACATTATATTATTCAGTCCACTAACCTTGCTGGACATTACTGGTCAGCAAGTACAACCCTCTCATTCAAATGTTTTTTTTTTTCCTTCACTGTTGGTTGCTAATACAAAGCTTACTAAGCAGCCTATGCTTTCAAAACTTGATGCTATGGTTCAGTAATAACCTTGATTACCATGACAACCAATACCAGTGTCAGTCAATCAGTTGCCCTGTGCAATAAAACATTTATGGCTATCAGGCTTAGTTCTATTGAATCAGAACAACTCTTAATTGGAATGATTCACAAAAATAAAAGTAAACATTTACAGAAATCAGATAATGTTTAGTGTTTTCATCTTCAAAACATTAAT